TAGGCATGTTGCTTCTTTAACAGAGTAGATTTTTGCCAGGCTGTAAAACCCTTTCAGTAAGAGAGTGTTCATATTCCTCTGCTCTTGTCTTACAGACTTGGATCCACATGCTGGTCATCATTGGTAGCATTGTGTCTTATTTCCTCTTTGTCTTGGCTTTTGGAGCCATGTGTGTAACTTGCAACCCACCATCCAACCCCTACTGGATTATGCAGGAGCACATGCTGGATCCAATGTTCTATTTAGTTTGTGTCCTCACAACCTGCATTGCACTTCTACCCAGGTATGGTATTTGCTTTATAATCAGTAAAGTAAATGAATCATAGGCTTGGGATTCTTCAACTAAGAATGAATGGCAGACTACTCTGTTTAGGAGTGGCGAAGCCAGTCTGTGTGCTAATTAAAATGTTACTTTTACCTATGTTAACAGTGACTTCAGCAAACTGGAAAGTTTCTTTCTCTCTCATATAAAAGTCTAATCTGGTTGGAAAACTTTGCTTCACGAGGTTATCCAGAGACCTAGATCCCTTCCTTTGTCCTCCTGCTGTGTCATCTCCCAAGGGTGTCGCCCTCATCTGCATGATTGAAGATGGCTCACCATCAGCATGTCCGTGTTCATATCCATGGGAAGGGGAAAGAGAGAAAGTGGATTGCAAGCAGCTTTCTTTTTTAAATATTTTAATAGCATGACTCAGAAGTTGCACACATCATTGCTCATATCCCATTAACAAGAACCTAGGAGTATAGACTCCAACCCAATGGCTAAAATCTAGGGGTTTTGAAAAGAAGAAGGGGAGACTGGGTACTGAGGGACAAGCAGCAGTCTCTACAGCAATCTTTAAACACTGAAAACCTTATGATTTCCCTCCCTTATCTGACTTCAATTATCCTCCCGTTTCAGCTTAATCTGATTTTGAATGTCTATATATTGTCTATAGCTGCTTTCATGCTCACAACAGCAGAGATGAGTAGTTCATCAGAGACCATCTGGCTCTCAAAGCCTAAAATATTACTATCTGGTCCTTTACAGAAGATTTCCCAAACCCAATCTATAAATCTCGAGGCACAGTGAGCATAATCTCTCTGTTGCTAATGGGCATTCCTTCTGAAATGCAAAAGAAAATCCCACCTGAGTCATTCTATGGTGGGTATAGTTTTGCACTTAACAATGTCACTGTTAAACTGAGGTGCTTTTGTAGTGTTCATTGTTATTACATTTTCAGATTAAAAACTGGCAGGATGAATTTATAGGATTGCTGAAGAAACAATTACTTTAAGGCTATAGCCTTTTAAAAATTGCTTCAAATGCATTAGCAGCACAGCCCTATCTAATCCAGTTGTGGTAGCATGAAAAACGGGCCTCTCAAAAGGTATATACATCCTGAAACCTGTGAATATTACCTTGTGTGGCAAAAAAAGGACTTTGTAGGTGTGATTAAGTTAAGAATGTTTAGATGGGGAGGTGAACCTGGATTATCTGGGTGGACCCTACATGAAATCACATGTATCTTTTTATAAGAGAGAGGCAGAGGGAGATTTGACCCAGACAAAAGAGAAGGCATTGTGAATACAGAATTAGAGATTGAAATGACTGGAAATTGCTTGCAACCCCAGGATCCTTTCTTCCTTCCATTTTCTGCCTTTTTCTGTAGGAATGTCTGTAACTGTCATCATCTGCATGTTCTGTCACTGTATTTTGGGGGCAGATAGTCTTGTTTATAAATTTTACAGACCCACAAATGGAGAGGAATTTTACTCCAGGATGGATCACACCCAGAGTCTCACCCATACCTGATTTAGATAATGAGATATAGAACTTTTAAGCTGGTGATATTTAGATGAGATTTTTGAATTTGAGTTGATGTTGCAATGGATTGAGACTTTTGAGCATGTTAGGATAGGGTGAATTGGATATAAATCTTTGGATCCAGAAGGCACACTCTAGTAGGCTGAATAATGGCCCCCAAAAATATCATGTCCTAATCCCTAGACCTGTGAGTGTTACTTTATGTGGAAAAGAGTCTCTGCAAGTATGATTAAATGAAGCGTCTTGAGATGGGGAGATTAACCTGGATTATTTGAGCAGGCTCTAAATGCAGTTGCACATGTTATTATGAGAGAGAGACGAGGAGAGCTGACACAAGAGGAGAAGGCAGTATGACCACAAAGACAGCGATTGGAATGATGCAGCCACAAACCAAAGAATGCTGGCAACCACAGAAGCTGGATGAAGGAAGGAATGGATTTTTCCTTAGAGTCTCAATAGAGAGTGTGGTCTGCTGATACCTTTATTTCAGTCCAGTGATATCTCAAGAACTTTCGGAATCCCACATAGCTAATGGAGGTTGTCTGCTTCCTTATGTTTTTTTTTTTAAATAAACTATTTAATAAATAACATATACTGGCCTCTAGAACTGTGAGAGAATGAATTTGTTGTTTCAAGCCAGCGTGTTTGCAGTAACTTGCCACAGCAGCCATAGGAAACTAATACAATTGACTAGCGGTTTTTGAATACTTATTCTGTGCCAAAACTCTGCTTTACGTGTATGATCTCATTTACCCTAACATCAAGCCTGTGATGTAGTAGCTATGGATATCTCTGCTTTGACAGATTTTTAATTTATTTTTTTATTTAACAAGCACTTACAGAGCACTTAAAATGTTCTAAGTAGTTTACAAATACTAGAGTATTTCGTGGAGCCCTGGTGGCATAGTGGTTAAGAGCTTGGCTGCTAACCAAAAGGTTGGCAGTTTGAATCCATCAGCTGCTCCTTGAAAACTCTATGTGGCAGTTTTACTCTGTCCTATAGGGTCGCTATGAGGTGAAATTGACTCAGCAATGAGTTTTTTAAATGTATTTAATATTGTTATCTTCCTTTTATAATTCATTTTTTTCTCCCCTTTTACCTCAAGGATGCAAGTGGCCACCAGATCCTTTTACCTTTTCTAATTGATGGGTTTATTTGTGTGTGTCCCATGATGCCTTTGAGGGTTATATAATTCTGTGATGCTCTTTTATCCTAGGTTTATATACCGAGTTCTTCAGGGATCCCTGTTTCCATCTCCAATTCTGAGAGCTAAACACCTTGACAGACTGACTCCAGAGGAAAGGACTAAAGCTGTCAAGAATTGGAGAGAAACTGGAAAGATGGATCAAATTGTATCTAAGTATGCTGACTACTCAGCTGCTAAGTCAGGGAGAAGACCTATGTCTGGCCGTTCCACTGTCTCTGCAATGATGTCAGCGACTTCTTATGCTGCTGAGCAAGGAAACGTATCTGTATGTGAAACTGCTTTCAACTCAGACATGCCTCAGACCTCAGGGATGGCTGGACCACCAAAGGATTAAGAATATAGGGTGGCCTACTTGGAGTTGCAAGTATCCCTTCAAGTTTGGAAGAAGAATTTTGAGGAGGCACTGCTACCAAGCAAGAAGAACTTGGATTTTACCTTAAGAACATGGACATTTTAATGGGCTTGGAAAAGTCATGATGGCCTTTATTGTATGTTTGTAGATACATTTGTAAAAGAGAAATAGAGTTTGATGTGGACAGATTTTTGGGAAGTGAAAAATTTCATTCAGAATCAAATGCTTTTATGAAACTTTTTGGATTTTGTAAAAGTATTTTAATTGTCTTAGAAATTCATATACCGGTATTTTAAAGGGGGATTCATTTGAGATGTTATTTATTTTAATGGGAGATCATTTCACATTCTTGAGAAATGCTTTGTATGAGCAAGCACCAATCTTAATTTTTTTTTAATAAGAAAAAAGTAGTTTTTAGATTAGTTAGAACTCAGAGAAGTTTTCCACACGGAAAATGTTATTAATGGTTAATTTCCAGATAAATTCTCAAGAGCCTTTTTAAACAACAGTGTACCTAAAATAGGGTAATAATTGTACTATTTAAAATACGGTTAGTGATCACTAATAGCTTTTTAATTCCTGTGGGAAGATGCCTTTGGTCTTCTGACAGAAGATGGTAGGCATATCTCTTGGCTCATTTCAGTGTTCTGAGCCAGAGCCTTTGTGAGGAAGGGGCAGAAGGGATACTAGGCTACCATCAGGTACCAAGAATGTGTTCTTCTCAATGATTCCTGTCAAGAGAAGAACTTTAATGTGGCCTACTTCTGCATAGATGTTCCAAATTGGGAAACAGAGGTCATAGGTCAAGCAGACAGAATCAGCTGAGCCTACAGCCCATTTGGAAATTACCTGCATTCTAAAATTGACAATATCCACCACACTACCCCCCTAGTTGTCGTCAAGTCAATTCAGACCCATAGCGACCCTGCAAGGTCCCTGAGTGGCACAAAAGATTTGTGTTCAACTACTAACGAAAAGGTTGGCAGTTCGAAAGCATCCAGCAGCATCATGGAAGAAAGGCCTGATGAACTACTTTCATACGATTACAGCCATTGAAAACCCTATGGAGCGCAGTTCTACTCTGAAACTCATCGGGTCACCATGAAAACTGACAATAACCTGATCCAAATGAGACAATCAATATCAAAACAATCCTCAAAAGTCCATTTGAGGGATCATAGTCTTTACACTACCCTACAACCTTTCTGGTGTTGTAGCCTCTGAAAATGAGCTGTTATGAACTGAAACTAATACAGGTTGTTCTCAGGAAGTTTCCATGAGGTTCTTAGGAAAATTTGTTTTTTTAATACATTTTAGGACAGGAATACCTATAAATTTACTGTTGCAAATCATGTATGCTGGCTTTAGTTGGAACAAAGAAACTAATTTATACCAGTAAGGCTAGATATTAAAACATGTATTCTTGTTGAGTTCATTTTAAATTCTCTCCCTTTCTGAAAATTGTCAGTCACCGATCATCCAAAATTTCCTTCATGCATCTCCATGCTAATGTTCCATGTCTCCATCAGGTTCTTCCTTATGACTATCAATCTCTTATTCTCAGGGCTTAATCTTCTACCTGCTGCCTACTGTCCTGGTCTGACCTTTTTTGTAGCCTTCTGGTATTATTACAAATAGTCTATATAACTAATCTTAAGAACTTTTGGAATCCCACATAGCTAATGGAAGTTGTTGTCTGCTTCCTTATGGTTTTTTTTTAAATAAACTATTTAATAAATAACATGTACTGAGAAGTTGTCATCACTCCTATAGATACTCACTGAATCCAACTGTATTTGGTAACAGAACTTACGAAGTCCCAAAGCAGGCCTTTTACCAGAATATTGTTTTGGCTTTTTCTTATATGAAAAAATCAGTGATAGCATCTCATACCCTCATAGCAGCAGGTATTCACTGCCTGAGGTCATCATCTTCTGATAAATAAAAATTTAGAGATATATTCACTTGTAAATAAAGTGTTAGAACCTATGAATGAAAAGAATGAGCCAAAAAGACTGAGAAGAATGGTCAATTTCCAGGATGCGAATTATCTGTACATATGAGTAGAGGAAAATCTTGAGTGTTCATGTTATGGGGCCACAATCTCTTATCCCCAATTCCAAAATCCCCAAAGTTCTGAAAAGTGGAAGATTTTTCATAAGTTAGACACAGACCAACGAATGCCCTGAACAGACATGACATTATTTATATTCTTTATTTATCCCACTTAATGTAATTATTCATTCATTTTGCCACAGAAATAAAACATTTTAGTTATGGATGCTACCCTAGTCCTCATTAGTGATATAATACACAGTATAGGCACTGCATTATTGTTTTAGAATTTGAAAAATCCTGGATTCTGAAATACATCTGGCCCCCAGGAGAAAGAGATTTTTGGATTTGTATTAAGCCTTTGAAGGGTCTCATTTACAAGTGAAAAACTCATTTATACCAAAGTACCCAAGCTGATGATATTAAATCACATTTTGGTATTTAGCATATGTCACCTAATTTTTTGAGACCAAAAACTATCTCATCACTCCTAGTAGTTAAGGAAAAATGATAAATAATATACATTTTGTGGTATAATTTTACCACAAAGGGTTTATAAAAGATTTGGATCTGGTTATCAAAATGTAGTCTATACATTAAAGATTCATGTGCTCTTACCAAGGCGAAAGTTCTCATTGGACATGTAACAGGTTATTTGAGACTATTAGCAACTTCTAATTTCAGGCTAATCAAAGAGCCACCTGTCATCGAAAGTAAGAGAGCACGTTCTACCAGAGTGAGGCTTATGACAGGTGAATTTTGACTGGTGGATTAGTGGGAGAGATAATTTACTTGGAATTGCTGTCTATACCCCATATCCATCAGAAAAGATTATACCATTTTTTTGTATTAAGGATGATTGAAAATAAGTACAATATGTACATTTCACTGAACATAAGTTGAGCAAGGCTAAAAGTTGTTACATTAAGCATATACCTACAGCTCTAACAAAGCTGATAGATGTTCTTAATCTTTCATACAATTGTGAGCCCAACTCAGTTGCTGATATTTCACACTTGCAATAGGTTTAATCAAACTGCAAGACAGGAGATCAATAACATAAGCTTCAAGACAATCTTTTGAACTTCAAATATGTGTACACATAGAAAAGAGTATAAAAATAGATGTATAAAATTGCCGATAGTCTCTGTGAAATGCGAGGCAGTTCAGGTTGCTGGTAGAGAGATTAGCAGGGAATCCTGCTCGTTCAAAAGGCATGCAGATGTTCCAAATGAATGCCTGACTAATTAAATTAGGTGTATGTGAAGATTTGTGTTTTGAAGCTTTTTAGTGGGGAAAAACATTTTAACCACTAATTGCTTCAGAAATCGATGCGCATAAAGTGGCCTAGTGCTTAACAGCATTTTTAAAATTTTGTTTTAATTATCAGTGAGAAGAAATGGCAACACCAGACTTTAAACATGTTTTGAAGAAAATTACAAAATGTTTTACTTCATGTAAAGTTTTACTATGCTTTGAGAGACATGTTCGTGACTTTGGTAGTATAGATGAACACAGGAAAATTGGAAAATACTAAATGGGAGTGGACAGTGCAATTTAATTCTCTTTTTGAAAAATTGCATCTGTTCAGTCTCGAGCAAGTTCATCTCCCTTGGCAAAGTTTAATCTCCACTCCATTGTCAATATTGTTGTGTGCCATCAAGTTGATTCTGACTCATAGCAATCCTACAGGACAGAGTAGAACTGCCCCATGGGGTTTCCTAGGCGGTAATCTTTAGGGGAGCAGATCGCCAGGTCTCTTCTCTCGCACAGCTGCTGGTGGATTCAAAGCACCACCCTTTCAGTTAGCAGAGCCGCTTAACCACTAGGGCTCCTTCCATTGGCACGTAGGCAAAGCAAAATATGTCCCATAAATATTGGCCTAGTTGTCGAAGTCTCAATCAGCCAACTGATATACACTGAACAAACCCCAGCTATAGGGAAAGTTCTATGCAGACCTTTCTATAAAGTAATGGAATTACCACCTTGACTGAAATCCAGAATGGAAAGTCCTATAGTGCCAAGTGCTAATATTGATGTCTAAAAAGCTTTGTGCTCAGTATGTCTCCCTGTTTCAGCTACCTACATGGATGCTACTGGTCTTCTAGCTCCAAATGACTTCCGTAAATTCTCAAAAGTATGCAAAAGTTAGGAGAATAATAGCAAATAATTAAAGCATGTATAAACCTTGACTTTTAATCAATCAAAAGCAAGTCTCCAATATTAATATTGAACTTTGCCATTATGCTGTTGTGCTTGAGAAACAGAAGCTGGCAGATGAGTCAGCTTGGATCTCAATGTCTTTTTTGTGATAAGGTATAAAGAAACTTTCTATGACCTGTTACTCTAGCGCCAATGTTATTTTAAACCTCTCTAGAGTTGATAATTCCACGCTACAGTCAAGGTTAGGCCTGGCCAAGGAACAAAAGCTACTTTGCTTTGTTTTTTGAAAGTCTTCTTTCATTGAACTTGAAGTAAGAGAAAAATAAACTTTAGAAAAAGTTGAATAAAATTAGACCAGAATATGAAAATTTGCAGTGCACTTTCAAGCATTCTCGTCCCTGGAAAGTGCTCTGTCTAGCGCTCTGCAGGAAGCTCTCCATGGTCAAGAAGGCCATTCTCTTTGAGTGTAGTTGGACAAAAGTCCCTGGTCATCTTTGGAATTAGTTTAGGAGGAAGGTGTGGATGTATATTTGTCTTTCAATCCATTCAACGAAGTATGACACATTGCTATAAACTCCAGGCCCCAGGACTTTGGAAAAGCAGACAGATCCCCATGAAGTTAAACCAAATAATGTCCATTGTCCTCCAGGCCGCTCACAAACAAGAGGTCCACCGCTGTCACCCTGTAATGAATAGCAATGGGCGTTAGTCACTGGTATTCAGAGACCCAATAGTGTCCATATTATTCTGAGGGTATAATAAAGCCAAACTCAACAACTTCTTGGGAAATTTCAACAAAGCATTCATTGTCAGGCTGTGGAGGGACCATGATGTTTACTGTATAAATGGAACTTTAAAATGAATGTTTTAAACTCTGATCTTTAAAAGGATGGGGGTGATTTGGGGAAGGGAATATATTCTTTCTATGAAATTAGAAGACATTTTTCAGTTATTTCCTGCACTTATCAAAATATGTCATAAAATTTTTAAAAAATGCTTGATGTATCAGATTTAGTTACCTAATAATTGACCTCATTCTTTAAGTTTGATTCATCTTATAAATGTAAAAAGCACCAAAAATAAAACATTTAAGATTTTTCTCCCCACTAAACAGTATTAGACAAATGTTTTATAATAAACTGTCTATTTTCATTGTTTTTGCTATGTGAATGAAGGCATTA